GTTATATCAAAGTGTCATTTCTATAGTGTTGTCCCATGACAAGATATAATAAAACATTTCCAAAAATGTGAGGGGTGTACTCATGTGAGATACTGTATATAGCTGAGCTTCTGACAACCTATGCTGTAAGTTGTGACCTGAGATCCTCAAGCCTACCCTCGCTAATTGTCCCTAGATCAAGGTTGGTACCGCACGGTGATCGGGCCTTTGCCATCAAGGTCCCGAGGCTCTGGAATTCTCTGCCTGAGGAGATTAAGTTGGCTAGCACGTTACCCATTTTTAAATCATTGCTTGAAACATATTTTTATAGGAAAGCTCTCCCTTTTTAATTCCTGATATGTACTTGTTGATTTGTAACGTTTGTGTTTTATTTCCTGTTTGTTTTATTACCTTCCCTTTTCTTAGCTCTTAACATTTTTTTTAAATATTGTATTGTGTTACTGTTGTTTTATTTTCATGCACTTTGTGAAGCACTTTGTAACCTTGCTTAGATAAGTGCTATACAAAAAAAAATATTATTATTGCATTTAAATCACTTTCATTGTACTTTACAGATGATCAGTTTTTAAAAATATTGTATTGGCATGAATTCTTACCTATCCTCTTGTTCTGTCGCTTCATACAGTCAGAAGAAGCCTCAAAGAGTTGCTCTTTTGTTTGAAGATGAGGGTGATGATGAAGATAAAGGATCCCTCTTTGGCATCAAACCTGCTGTCAACACAAACACTGCAGCCCCAGCTACTAAAGTGAGTGCACCAACTAAAGCTTTTTTTGAAGATGGCCTCCAGCGGGCTCCAAAAAGGTTTAATAAGCTCAAGGGGTGAAGGAATTTTTTTTTTTCAAATACACAAAAACACCAAATTAAAAACTTGGCTCTATGAGTTTGTCACACTGTGATTAATTTTTTCAATACCTGTCTTCTCTCAGTCATCCTCCCTGTTTGAGAAACCAGAGGAGGTTGTAGTATCTAGAACAGCAGCAGAGGACAAGTCTTCAGAGCAGGAGAAGCCAGCAGCAAAGACTCCTGTGCCGCTCCCATCAGCGACCTCGCCAGACATCAGCGAAAGTAAAAAGAAGCCTGCCGGAGCAGTCAGCCTTTTTGGAGGCATCAATGTTCTTGCCAACAAGGAGACAAAGAGCCCGTTGGATGAAACTGGCAATGACGACAGCCCACCACCAAATGTCAAGAAGGAGGAGAAGAAGGACGACAAAGTCAAAACAAACACTGTTAGTCTGTTTGATGATGAGGAGGAAGATGAATCAGACTGGAGTGATCCGATATTCACCCCCAGTAAACCTGCAGCAAGCAATGCGGTAAAGGTTGGTAAGATTTTCAGTAAAACTAAGAATAGTGTAAGCAAATGATTTAGCTGCACTGGTATCCTTCTTCTGCTGCAGCCAGTGTACTGAAATGTGTCTATCATTTTGTGTTCACAGACTTCAGAGGAGCGACCACAGGCAAAGAGCACAGGTGTTTTCCAGGACGAGGAGCTGCTGTTCAGTCAGACGCAGCAGAAGGACAATGACCCGGATGTTGATCTGTTTGCCACCTCAGGGAAAGCTGCGGTCAGTAAATAAGTGCCTCTTTAGACCTGGTATTGACATCCCAGTGCATCTTGGTGGTCGGTTACACTTGTATTTAGCGCTGTCCACCAAAATGCATGTTAATGTCAGATCTAAACAGGGCCTTAGATATTCTTATCTGCTTGTAGATCTGTTTCTTTTCTCTCTGCTGTGTCTGAATGCAGATGGTCTTTCACTAGATTGTAAGGATACATGACTCTGTGTGCTTTTCAGAGCTCCAAGCTCAGCTCAGCGAAGCCAGCATCACAAAGTCTGTTCGCAGATGACGACGAGGATGACCTCTTCAGCTCTGTCAAGCCAAAAGCTCCTCCTCCGGTAGCAAATTGATCATTTTTCCAATGATTAGAATTATTCTGGATTCCTGTTCTTGCTTCTCCTTGTGCCTCATGCTGGATTCCTGCAACCCCATTTGAATAATATTCGTAAATAGTTATTGAACTGAAATCGAAATTGTAATTCAGCAGCTCTTGTTTTTCCTCTTTGTTGTCATTGTCAGAAAGTAGCAGAGAAGCCCAGTAAACCCACTGACAAAGCACCTCTAGCAAGTCCAGAACCTGTATCAGAGATTCAGGTGAGTCTACTGTAAACACACAATGCAATAATATCATGGGCTGTTTTCTTTGAACCATAAACACGCATATCTGTGTGTCCATGGGAGTTTGATAAAGGGTTTATTTTTGCTTGTATTAGCTTCCTTTTTTAATACTTTTTGACATGTTGTGATAGTCACACAGTATTTTTTCTAGATGAACACAGAAACATTAAATTCTGAACCTGCTGTAATCTAACCACACAGAAACCTGCACCAAGCCCTGTAAAACCTAAAGATTCCTCATCAAGGATTGGGAAACTTCAAGTAATTATTTTTGTTTTTATTGAATCAGAAGTCTTCATTCCTGGCATTTCACTCTGATTCCTCCTGAGGAAATACTTTTCTCCTCCCAGTTACACGTTTTTCTCTTTCAAGGTGTCTTCTGTCTGGGCTTTCTCCATGTTTCAACTTCAAAGCTTGACTGCGATGTAGCAGCATGACTACCAAAATGAAGATATAATTATCTGTCTTGATTTCATTTTGCTGAACTGGAAGAAGCTGCTCACTCGTGTCTTTCAATTTCACAAGATGTTATTGCATCTTGCTGTTGCCTCATTTCCATCTGCAGTCCTGCTTTTTTCATTTTTCTCTGAATGATCGGCTGCTTGGAACCACTCTGGCAAACCTCATGAAAAGAGTTAAATGTGTGGTTAACTAGAAAGTCTGTTAAAACTTTTTTCACTCTTGATAAATGATTGTATTGGTGTGTCTGATCTTATCATATTCAGGCCAATCTGATGATCAACCCTGCCGCGTTGCTCCCTGGAGCTGCCCCCAGTATGCCAGGGACCATAAGTGTACTCCCTGGCATGGCCCCTAGTTCCTCTTCTGGGGTGTCCAGCTCCAGTCTGAGCCCCAGCCCCGTCACGACTCCTGTAGGATCCCAGGAAGGAGTGAGCTTTGACTCCCCAGTTCAGGTTACGACACTGCAGAGTGCACACAAGGTAAGGTTTTGATCCCTGGAGTATTATATCGGTTATCTCTAAGTCTTAAAATTGGATTTCAGGGACTGACTGGATGGAAAAAAGTAGGTCTCAATTCTTAGCTCGGTCTTAGCCACGTCTGCCTTTGTGATTTGCATTTACACCAAGGTCAACAAGCCTGACTAACCACAGTCGTAGCTGTGCTCGGTCGCATGATGCGCATCCACATGAATATATGCAAAGTGATTATGTTGCAAACAAAACTTTCTGTACAAAGCACACTCTAACTTCTGCCTTTAAACATGCCATGGAAGATATGGAACTAAAAAAAGGAAACAAATTTTATTGATAAGTTTTTCATAAGAAAACTTACAGAATTGTGTGCAGTGCATCAAAAAAAATCAGCTAAATTAGTTAAAATTAAACATAAACATACAAAAACTATCAACACAGAATTGTTGAGGGGAGAGCTCTTGAATAAACTCAACAGGGCTTGCCATCGAAAGCGCAACTCTCAGTCAGCTCACTGTCTGAATAGATGTCCAGTGGGTTTGTGCGATCACATGCAACCCTTGCTCATCTAATGCCCTTTCATTATTTATTTGGTCTGTAAACGTGATGAACCGCCATTATCTGTTTTGTTTTCTGATTGTGTGATTATCATTTTTTCTGTAATTATTACCATGAATACTAGACTGTTTTTCCAACTTATGCCTGCTCCATGCTAGACGTAAAAGTTACACCCAGGCGCAAGTCTAGATGGTGCAACACTCATATCCTCAAGTCGGTCGTAACTTTCAGCTTTAAGGGGCCGTACGCATGCTGCATCCTTAACCACCTGGAAAACGTGAGGTCGGGTGCAGGGCTCTAAGTCTGTGCCTTTTTTGTGCCAGCTTTTAAGAGCGCAGCAGCAGGTTGCATCTGAGGTTGCTAAGCAACCTTAACAAGCACTGTACCATAGCCTGTTTGCCTGAAATCCTGAGTACAGAGCTGATCTTCTTCCTGGTGCTGGTAATAAGTGTGTGGGCCTACTGTCCATGGGACAGATATAAAGCTCTGGCAGCCCTGCACCAAAATTATCAACTTTTCCATATTTACTACTGCAGACTGATATTTAGGGAAGAAGATAAAGATATTTGTCAGCTGTGATTGGATGTTCCTTGTCACATGACATGCAGCGCGCGCTGCTGCGTTCCAAAAGTTGAACTTGGTTCATCTCAGGGTGCAGTTGTTGCACCCTGAAAAATGAGCATCACTCTTGCGTTTGAGCACACCTGTTGCACGTCTACATTGAAAACAATGAATTTGAGGGTGCAACAAACGCAGCATGTGTACGGCCCCTAAGTCTGACATAATGTTAAACCCAGACATATTGATACACTCAGCTTCTGATATTATAAATGCAAATCTTCTGTCATGCAGAGTCGTGCCAAAGGTTCTGTACAACGGAGACCCCAGTCCAGAGCAGCGAGGCAGCAAGCAGCCCAAAGATCTGTGAAGGACAGAGATGAGACCACGGGTGGAGATGATACTGGGCCAAACCCCAGTCTGTCTGGTTCAGTCTTACCTCCACCAGGGAAGCCCAGCAAGACGAGTCCCAGTCCGACACTAACTAACTCAGCTGCACCTGCAACCCTGCCCGCCTCCTCACCCTCTCAATCCTCTCTCCCTGAAAGCACCCCCAGACCCTCTGTACTGACACTGCCAGTATCCACAGATGCTGTAAAGAAAGACTCTAGTAAAAGTAACAGCAGCAGTACCAAGGTGCTGCTGTCTCCTGATGAGGATGACCTTTTTGGCTCCGACAGTCTGTTCGGGGTTACCTCAGTCACTAAAACAGCCTCCACCAGACAAACTACCAAGACTGCACAAGCTCAGGCCAGTAGTGGGGTGGGACTGAAGAAAGACAAAAGCACTCTCCCATCCATCTTTGATGATAACACTGATGACCTTTTCCAAAAGGTCAAACCAAGGGCAACTACTAAGAAAGCCAAGCCCTCAACGTTTTTGGAAGACGATGACGATGATGAGGACATCTTTGGAGTGAGCAACAGCTCCACTCCCACATCCACAAGTAGTAAAGAAATTGGCAGTAGTTTTTCAAAGCAGGACATCTTCCAGGTACCTTTATTTTACATTGATGGTAAAACTGTCATGGTGTTCTGTGCCATTTCTTTTCTTATTGGCTGAATTTCTGTGTTCTCAGGATGAAGTAGCCGCTGTGCCTAAAGTTCACAAGAAGCACAAAGAGAAGACCCTTGATGCCAGCTTGTTCGATGACAACATAGACATTTTTGCTGACCTGACGGACACTTCAAAACCAAAACAGAAGTCCAAGACAAAGGGAGAGACCAAGTCAATATTTGATGATGACATGGGTAAGAAACAAAATAAGGCATGAAGGCATTAATGTTAGTAATTCACACTTTTGGTCTGTACTGTTATCTACCCTTTTTTAATTGCCATATTTAACCAAATATGTTTTCCATCTCTCTGTTCTGTAAAGATGACATCTTTTCCCCAAGCACAGTAAAACCAGTCACGAAGGCTCCCCATAAATCAAAGAAAACCCCACCGTCTCAGGAGACCAGTACGGCAGCGGATTCAAGCAACATATTTGACGATCCACTTAACGCTCTTGGTGGGAACTGAACTGTTGTTTCTGAGTAGCCAGATTTGTACAATTGTGGATTAAGTCTTTTGTCATTTGGATCGCTGAAAGTTTGGAGATCGGATACACTGTTGATAGAGTATTTATTCATATGAATTCATATAAATACTGGGGCTTATTTTTGGCAGATTAAAAACTCAAATGACAATTATTCCAGCCATCCTCCGGCAGCACTTCCTGAATCATCTCGGCATCAGATCATATTATGTAACAGTACTGTTAATCTTTATTATACATGATAGCACTTTATAAGCATACCATATGCTTAGCCTCAAAGCCTGCAGAAATTAACAGTTAATTGTTTTGTTTGTTTTGAAGATGTTTATCCTTTTGGCTTTTTCATGTTGAGATTCCATGCCTTTGGGTTTGTGCCATATCATGCTTATGAGAAATCAATGTGTTTACTTACTGTCTTAGGCATTTTGACAATGTTTTTATTAATAAGAAATTCATCGATTTCCTAACTTTGGCTGTGATGAAAAAGGAAATTCATTTTTAATAACTAAACAGAAACATATTTTATGCTATCTGAAATGAGTGTGATTATTTTAAGTCTCTTATTTTCATGTGCGTCATGTCCGTCTAAACTCAGATATAGATCGGTGTCTGATATGAGAAGGAGGGGAACTTTAGATCTGTGATTATTAACACCGCTTCTGTTTCATTTTTTGATGATTGGGGTTTAGTTTTTTGGCTGAGGTCAGTATTATTAAAGTTAGAAAAGGAGGAAGAATTGAGGCTGCTCCTTTTATTAGCATTTAAATAGAAACCCACTTGGCTGCTGTAAGTTATATAACCTTTCCCATAGTAAGTAAAAGCTCCAGATAACTATGAAAGCATAATTTGTAGTGTCTCACGGTGAGGTTCTTGCTTTTTTGTGGCTTGAACATGGCACTGAAAGCTTATTTGCCTTACATATGAGATTGGGACGTGTTTGCTGGAATGAAGCCACAAACTGGCATGCACTTAAAAACACAAGGATCTATAATTTTATTAAAATATTAGTATTTTTACATCATGTGAGTGTATTGGAAACTGTTGAACTTTGTTTCAATAGGTGTTTTCATAATGGTGTGTTTTTAAATTCACCATTAATGTCCAAAAAAGATGCCCAATGTTTCATACATACTGATGACAGACAGTGATTTGTACCAATTATGTCACCATGTGTGATTTTTTTTTTTTTTTTTAGGACTGTAATAATTACAGTCTTTACAAATACAATAATTGGGTCCAAACTCAGAAGGATGTAAAAGTGCCTTTGACAACAAACAATGTATTGCCCCGCCTACCTTACATTGCTTGGCGCCGATTGGTTCCTTTGTCTGTCAATCAATCGTAGTCACAAAGGTGTTGTTCAGCTGCCTTTGACAGGTATAATGATGTCGCCTCCAAGGGGGCCACGGCGACCGACAACGGCCGACAGTCTTCTATGTTCCGTGTGTAGTTTTTAGGGTTAAACAAGATGCTATGCTGATGGGTTCAAACGCAACATTACCCCCGACAGCTACACTGGACGGCGACGGACTGGAGCCCATGGATGTAGCCTAGCAGCCTGCTAGCTAACCACTGAGAAAGGTAGCCATTGTTTGAGTTGTTGGCTAACATGGCAACGAAAGCTAACATTAGCAACGTCGGCTAATGTGGGCTCCACTATCGCGCTATTGCGGAAGATACTGGTAAGTCAAACGGGTTTTGTTAATAAAATACGAACGTCAACCAAAGCTTTAAACTATATTGTGAAAACTGTGAGGTTTGAGTACTGTTTGTGCGACCTTTCTATGCTAACGTTAGCCGTTGTGCGACTTCAACTCCATTCATCTCCGTTGTCAGGCAGCTGGTAGCTAGCTAACCTAGTTTATCTCTTTTCGCCGACCTGCCCTGTGGCTCCTGCTTTGGTTGCGCCGTCAACCACTGTATTATAAAAGGTTTAACGTAACCAGAGGCAGTTTGAATATAATGTTGATAGTGACTTGAAAACAGACCGTTTTCTTCAGAGAATGGCCTGTTATGACAACCTGATTGAGTACGCCTCAGGCATCGCATACTAACATAACAGAGCCGACAGCCAGAGAGTCAGTTCATCTTTGGTGTTTTACACCTTACTGTGGGCATCAGTTGTTACTTGAGCGTCTCCAGTAAGGTAAAACAGTTTAATTTAAAGGGCCATTGTGTGTAGTATGTGCTCTGGATAGCAGCTGGTGGACAAATATAGTCCAAAACACAAAGGACAATGTACAATGAAAGCTAGATACTGATGTCTTGGTTCCAAGCAGGAAAGACTGGTCTTATATTCTTTTGTTATTTTGCATTTTAAGTGATAGAAGATCATGTACACATATATCAAAGTGTCATGACATACCATTATATCAGATGTTGAATTCAGCTTGTCTTCATTTTTTCCCCTAATAAATACAAGCATGATTGGACTTAAGCTATCTGTCTGTCATGCAGATTAAATTTTGGTTAATATTGGTTGGCCCAAGAGGTGATCTGTCAAAGGCAGCGAGCGGTCAGGCACAGGACACCTCATACCACTGATGGGCTTATGTAACACACCTGATCCTCTTGAATTTTGGCCAGGGCCTTAAATGCTGCACTGAATTTTTCATGAGAGGGTTGCACATGTCTGCTGCCACAGATACATGTCCTTACTCTAAAACATTTGCTCTGAAATTTGAAAATACTACAAAAAAGTTTTGAGGACATTTTTATTCCACACAGGAGCATGTTTTTGTCTTCTACCACTGGTCCATCATGTCTGAACAAAAATGCAGTTGAGTACATGAATTGATTGAAAAGTCTGCCTAAATGTTGCATCCACATGCAGTGAACTGGACTTGGCTATCACAGGTTAGGTTTTTTAATTTCAAAATGTAGGCTATCACAAATGTTTTCTGAACCTGTGGAAAGGACATGTAATATGTTTGAGACACTAGGTTGCAGGGAATGGTTAAACTAATGAAACCTTCTGAAAAGTTATGATAATCACGCAGAGTTTTTGTCTCTTCTCACAGCTGTGGTCGTCCTGCATGATGTGTGAAGGTCGTGAGGAGAGTGAGCAGTGCCTGTCCCTCTCTCCCTCATCTTGGGCCAGCCCTCCCATTTAACCATATCCCTAAAGTCTCTCTCCCACCCTGCCAAGATGACCGACAGGAAGGAGCCACCCTTCTTTAATGACGACAGCGTGGGAGCTTTTCACTATAAGCTCCCTTTCTATGACACTATGGAGCTCTTCATAGAGACCCTGACAGGGACCTGCTTTGAGCTGCGCGTGTTGCCCTTTGAGGCTGTCATTTCAGTCAAGGCAAAGATCCACAGGCTGGAAGGTAGGACGCACACAGCTGTGTTGTTTGCATGTTTAAGTCCACTGTGAGGAAATAGTATTCATACCCTAGAAGTTTTATTGCACTTATTGAGCCAGCAAGTTGTGCCAATTAGTTGATTGACAGGTAAAATAAAGGCTACAGGAATGGCTCCTCTGGTATACTGTTGTTTACATACTGTCATTTGTTTGACCACTTTGTATGGTCTATTCAGTCTTCTATAGTGAGTTGCTCAAAGTTGTTTTTGTTGTTTGTGTTGTTTTTTTGTTTGTAAAAAAAAACAGATGCCAAAATAAAATAAAAAAAAAAAAAAAGGCAGAAACCGCATGGTTACACTTAAATTTAGAGCATTTAGACTTAGTCACTGTACACGTAGTCTGGCTCACAGGATTTAAAGTGTAGGTATAAAGCATGTCTTTGGCCGCCTTTCTAAGACGGCGACATGCGTTCTGTGTGTTACCATTTTAAAATTCCCATCACTACGTGAAACTACTCTCGCACGGCAAGACATATCTCCACACTTTCAGGGCTCTGCATAGAACAACAGCAACCTCCAACCTAGGAACCTACAAGCTAAACATCTTCATGTGGCGTTTTCTTTTGTGGGCTTTAGCCATTTTAATGCAGTCGTTTGCCTCTTCACCAAGAAGTGTACCCTCTCAATGCTATTTTGCAAAGGCACCATCACTGCATTCTGGGCTTAGTGCCACTGAAGACGATTGTGATCTGTTTAAAGAAGTGCAAACAACCCAGAGTGCTTTTTCCCTTACTGTGGAATTATGATTTGTTTAACCAGACTTTTTTCCAGTGTTGGCACAGTGCGAGATGGGTCTGGCTATGTGAGACTTCTTTACACCTTGATCAGCGTTGAGTAGGGTTGTCAGGTTTTATTTGAAATTCAAACTACTGTGTGTTGGAAAAATATTAAATATTCGACCATTAATGTAGTCCTAATGTAAAATTCAGTGTATACTACTACAGACAGTGCTTTTTTCTCCAGCAGTGGGTACTTGTAAAATGTACTGTCACTCAGACCCACCACATGCATTGCTATTGTTGTTCCTCTCATTTATACAAAATTGAAGAAACAAAAATGTGTAAAGAAGTCAGGTTGTTTGTTGACTTTGTAAAATGCAACTGCCTTGATAATATTACTATAGAAAATCCAAGGACTTACCTGTTGGCTTGTTTTTTGAGTCCGGCAGTAGAGGCAGCATGAATGAACCCAGCAAAGTCCATTCTACAGAGTAGTCAAGGATAAGGCCATGTAGGTTGTGTTTGAATTAATCTGAATTAATCATCTGTTAGCTCTCATTTATTTTGACCTTGGCTGTCCTCTAAGGTATCTTTTTTGTAGACCAGGATGACCTTTGACATCTACATTCTTTGCCGCTGTTCTCATTTTTGGTCAGAAAGGCCTCTCTGTGCTTTCTGTGTGTGAGGAGGTGTGTCAGCCAAGCCAAGTGTGTTTGTGATGGGGCAAACTACTCTGCAATGAAAGGACCACTGCTCACTCGCTAACACTGGCTCACCTCCAGCTCCGGGTCAGCGAGTTCACTCATTGTGGGCACAGGGCGCTTCCTGACTATGCATCTCATTTCAAGGAGTAGCTCTAGTGAGCCTTTGTATTCATTAGGCTGTCATCCTTCAAGTGGAGTCTTATTATTTTGGTCTCATTTGCAGTAATATTAGGTTGTAGCCCAGTCAACCTCATGCATCTGACATCTTTAGCTGTAGGGTAAGCTGTGTTGAGGTACCACTGTAGCATCTCAACAAGTTTTTTTAAATGTGCACTATTTTAATTAAACAATGCATCTGGGATTTACCCCCTTTCAGCAGTTACATCATTCTGTCTTTAGGGGGCAGGCATGAATCATCTTTAGAGCAGTATAGATGCTTCTGTTGGCAGCATTCCCATCTTGTCTGACTGTCAGATTAGTGAACTTAGTCTATGAAATATGAACAGGTCCATGTCAACTTTGCTTGTTTTCTCTCCTACCCTCTCTCTCTCTGTCTGACTGTCTGTAAAGGTATCCCTGTTGCCCAGCAACACCTTATCTGGAACAATCTGGAGCTGGATGATGAACATTGTCTACATGACTATGGGTAAGTCTATTCCTGCAGAGCCTTTCTGTCCTTCAGAGCACTAACACTGAGGCAAATCACACAGTCGAAGTTTGTTGGACCACTTATTAG